TCCTTTTACTCCAATGTTGTTTCTAGCACTGTAAATCCTTCATTTTAAGACAATCAGCTTGGGGCATTTATACAAATACACCAAGGGAGGGAGGGAGGGAAGGAGACAGGCAGGCAGGCAGGCAGGCAGGCAGGCAGGCATTGAAATATGCTTTATCTCCAATTCATTCACATCACAGTAGAAGGATGTTTACATCCAAGAGATTGAAGGACAAAGAGCATTCATCAGCCAGGAATTTAAGAATCAGTGACTTGAGAACTATATGTATTTACTTTATTTAATGTATATGAATTTCAGAAAACAGATCTATCTACTGATCTATCAGTTGCAAAGTCAAAGAATACAGAGGGGAATAATTAAATGGTTTTGTCTGTAACCACACTTTGTGGTTTATGACAATTGTGTTTATGACACAACTTTGTGTTTATGACGTGTTGGCTGCAAAATAGAAGAGAGGAGAGTTTTTGTAGGTTTGCCTAGTACTGTTGTCAGCAAATGCCAACTGCTTAACTGGAAAAAATGTGCACAATACATATGAATATTAGTATAAATTTAATAAAAATGTCCAATCTAATAGAGAAACAGGATGGTCTGAAATTAATAGATTTCCCCATTCCTAGTAGAGCTATCTCAGGCAGCAAATTTGAGGTATTATGAAAGACCAGCGAATTTTTCTTAAATTGAGTTTTTCTGTCAAGAAGGGAGGAAATGCTTGTGATACCAATACCAAAATAACCTAATATTGTAATTTTGAACAATTTCATAACATTAAGTAGACTATTTCATAGAGAAACGCAAGATCTGAATAGTAGCATACTGATCTACTAGAAATGCAAATCAGATGAATGATTACTTCACTATCCAAATTAAGCAAAGACCTCAGAAGCTTCCCAGTCCATCAGACCTCACCTACCTAGCACCACCAAGCCCAATCTGCATCTCATAATTTTAGAGAGTTCTTTCTCAGCACTTTTTCTTAAAATCCTTGTTGTTGTTAACCAACAACAAGGATCTTATTAGTCAATCCTGATTTCTGGTGACTACATGGACAGATCCATGCAGCTCTCTTGGCAACATTTTGAAAGTGGTTCACCTGCACCTTCTTCCTAGGGTTGAGAGAGTGACCCAGCTGGTTTTCTCGCTCAAGGGAGGACTAGAACTCATGGTGTTCTACTCCTAGTCCAGACAGACTTGCAACATGTACTACAATATTATGCTTTGATTTTACCACTTGTTTTATCCTCTTTAAGGATCTGGTATACTGAGTGAAGGAACCCTTTGTTCCTAGTATGGCTCTCTATATCACAGATATAACAGAATTTAATTTAAAAGATTAGCATTTTTTAAATAATTAAGTAAATAAATAATTTTCTATTTTTTGTAGGCTGCTGCTCTGATTCATATCTATTTAGATGGGTCAGTGCTGCTGTCCCATGGTGGATGTGAAATTGGACAAGGACTTTATACCAAGATGTTACAGGTAATGTAAGACCAAAAAAAGTCTAATATTTATAGCTTGAACAAAGCAGTCTTTCTAAATCGGGTGCCCTTTCCATGTGTTGAATTACAATCCCTATAATTTCTGGCTAGCATGTCCAACTTGTCTGACAGGCAGCAGCTGGGGATGGCTATTACAGAATGTATATGGTTTACAATATAAATAAATGTGCATGAAAGTTCCATTGTTCGTGTGTTTTTAATCAAGTTACCTAACATTTCCCCCCATTTTCTTAACTTTTTGTTAGGGCACATATATAAACTCCTACTTAGATATGACACAGAGACAGAACAAATAAAAAACTGTATGATAAAATGGATGTCAATTTTCAAAGAAACAGTCACAACACAACAGAAAGAATTATGGATCAAATCCATAACATTTACTCCAAGCTACAACTCAAAAGAAAATTGGTAGAAAAAGTTTTACAGATGGTATACAATTCCATCAATAATTTCCAAGATAGATACGGTAATTAATGTTGGAAATGCCGTGAAACCATAGGAACGTTTTACAACGTGTGGTGGACATGTAAAAAAACCTCAAAACTATTGGAAAGATATACATAGTACAATGCAGAAAATTCTGGAAGTTAAATTTGAAATGAAATCATAATTTTTCTTACTAGGTATAATCTCAGAAAACATCAACAAGAAATTTATCGAAATACATGTTTACAGCAGTGAGAATAAATAAAATAAACAAACAGCACCTGCCTGCACTCCATGGCACCCACCCACCCATAGTCCTTAGCACCCACCCGCCTGCCTGAGGCTCTTGCCTGCCAACCTGCTTGCATAGGACGTGTTTCAGCACTTGTTCCCATGTCACGGTCACATGAGATCCTCACTTAACCTGCATGGTCCTCGTTTAATGACAACAATGGGGACTGCTGGGATTGCCATTGCTAAGCAATGCAGTCACATGATGTTGTACTTTACGACTGCATCACTTAATAACAGAAATTCCAGTCCCAATTGCTGTCGTAATCCGAGGACTACCTGTACTTATGTCTTATAATAATATAATAAACAATTTAAACAAAACATTCCCTGTAGTAGTAATCATAATTGCATTTTGAACTTGTGTTGTAACTCCAGGTAGACTAGAAATGCTAATATTTTTATTTTTTAAACCAAAAGGTGGTGAGCCATGAACTAAAGATACCACTATCTTATATACACCCGTATGAAAGAACTACAGTGACAATACCAAATGCAATTGCTACAGCAGGATCAATCAGTGCAGACGTCAATGGGAAAGCAGTCCAGGTTAGATGCTTAATTGGTCGTATTCTTTTCAGTGTTTTTGAAATGTGATAGAACTTAAGCCTTACTGACATCAAAATCTACCTTTTTGTGAATGAAAGCCTTCCTTTTTCTCTAGCTGTTACTGAATTTGAAAGATGGGGAGGTCAGTGATAGGGCCTGTGCTTTGCATTCAGATGGTCACAGGTTTTCTCCTTGGTATATTCAGGATATTTAAAGGATCAAGTAGTTAGTGAAGGGAAAGACCTATGCTTCTAGAGGCCTCCTGCCACCAGAGTGGACAGTGCTAAGCTAGATGGGAAAATATTCCAACCTGATATAGGACATTTATCTTAATAGAAATAGTACGACCTCCCACTAAATTGTTTACATCTTTGGCCTTTAAAGATGGGCACTGCCAGAGATTGCCACCTTTTTCTAACAAATATTCTGCTCTTCTCACAGCTATACTATATAAGAGTCATAGTAGAAGTTTCTTCTATTTTTATACAAGAGCTGTGTTCACACATCATGCTGAAGAATAATGTGATTTATTGAGTTTTAA